AACTATTCAACTTTCCATTTAGCGAGAAATTTTTTCTGATAGGAAATCCTTCAAACAGAAAGAGTAATGCTACTTGCAGTCGCTCACTGCAGCTGTCGCCCTATGTGGCACACACATGGCATGTAGTTATTTGATGCATTAATGTGATAGTTTTTTTTTACCACCGTTAATGCATCAAATACACACTTGACATGTGTGTGCTACATAGGGCGATTGCTGCAGTGAGGGACTGCAAGTAGCATTTCTAGATTTCACTCAGATATCTATATGCAAAATTAATTTATTTTTCTTCCACTGTTGTCAATAGGACGCCGATATTGATTATTCAAATGTTCGAGGGGAAAGACGTGATTTGACTTTTTGATGGAGTTTGAGCAAAAATCAACTTCTCAAATATTGATTCTCTCTCCGTCTCTTTAAATTGTTAACTTTTAAATACTGTATATGTCCAGTTTGTTAAATTCAGTTTTAAACACTATTGTGCTTTTAATTATTTCTTAGTATTTTTTAAAATACTATTTTGCTCGAATTATTTCTTAGGTCCAAGGATTGCTAGTTCTTAAGTTATTTCATCGTATTAAATTTTGTATTGATTTTGCATGGCGAATCCATTTGCTCGGTTTTTTCATTTTCCCCATTGATGGCTTTGTTATTGGGAAGCAATTCAATATACATAATTTTCCTTATTTGAATTTATGCATTAATTGTTCTTCAACAAATTTTACGTTTATTTTGGACATAATGAGAATATGAACAAGAATGAAAGGTTTGGGACAAAACCCAAAATGTTAGGAGATTATATGTGTACTACTTTTATGTATTCAATAAGCCTCCATTTGATTCGTCATATTTTCCATGAAAAACGGATTTTTTTTTTTATTTTACAACTTTTGTAGTGTTTGATAGACAAAATTTCCTCTATAATTTTTTTTCCACCTTTTCTCATTTTCCACATTTTTAAGGAAAATAAATTCTTAATGTTTTGGTGGAAAAAAAATTTCTAGATTTTTTTTTTGGCAATTGGAATAAAAGTCTAGATACAATGATAAATTTTTTTTTTATCACTTTTATTGACAATTTCCATACAAAACAAAATCAAAAAAATGATATTCGGTATGATAATTTATTTATTTATTTATTTTTTTGGCAATTGAAACAAATTCTTGACCCAATGGTAGAAAAACATTATCACTTTAATGGACAATTTTCTTAAAAAAGAAGCTAAACAGATACCAAACTTTTAACATTTTCCATGAAAAATTATACATATCAAACACGATTAATTACAGTTTCTAGTAAAATAATTTTTAGGCAAATCAATTCCCCGTAAAACATTTTCTTTCCACCTATTTTCCACATTTACAATCAAACGACCCTAATTATATGAGGATTAGGCCATCCTTTTAATACGAAGTAGCAGACCGGAGAAAGAAGATGAAGCCATGTATTTACAGAGTTTTGACTTTTTCTGTGTTGTTGGACAAAAAATATAGAAATGAGGGCTTGCGGAGTAATAAAGGGGCACCAACTATCGCCTATATATCTGTGAGACGCATGTGACATAATATAATTGATTACCCAATATCATAAATTTAAAAAACAATTATTTGAGTTACATCAAATTTAAGCATATGTTGTTGAATGTTTCGAGACAACAACATTGGAAAAATGATGTATTTAAAATCAGTGTTCTAAAAAACTTGTCTTGCCTCGAAACTCAAGCAAAACGCCTAGATGCTTTTTTTCCCAATTAAATGGTTGAATTTTTTCATTCCTCTATGTTGTTTTAAGATATGATTTTGTCTATAATATATAGGCCCTGTTTGGGAGGAATTAAATTTTTCTACAGTAAATCAATTCTCATTTTCAACCACACATTCTTCAATAAAATAATATTTTCCATCACATCAATAATTTTTTCTTCTTTTTCAACCACACATTTCCCATCATATCACTATTCAAAATCAATTCTT